GTATGAAGAGAGAGAACACTAACCTTGCTTGAGGCGACTTCTGGCATGGAGGACAGGAAGGTGGGTGGGGAGGCGGTTATTGTTTGAAGGGAGAGTCCCCCTCCCTACAGGAAGCCACGACCATGTGTCACAGCAGGGAAAATGGCCGTGGGTCGTGTTCATCACCCGATGTGGAGTTCGCAAACGGAAGCAAAATTTTGCAAATGGTGCTGTTCGTGAACCGAATTGTTCGTGAACAGAAGCGTCCGTGAACTGAGGTATTACTGTAGTTATACTTTCAGTAAATTACTGACAGATCTCTGTATGAGCTTAATTTCCGAGAACTCAGAAAAGCCATGTTATCATTCCCTGGCTGCAGATTCCTCCCTCCCTCCCTCCTGACCTTTCTTCCCCAAGTCACAGGAACAAGCTTCTGTGGGAAGGAGGCATCTTGCTTCAGTGCCTGGCATAGGTCATTGTTCCTTTTCATGGCTAGCAAACAGTAAATTACACCAAATAAACGACACACATATTTCCTTTAGTTTATAATATACAGTATGCCATTTTCATGATCAGTTTGGATTATCTTGATGCACATTTGGAAGGTTTGGGTTCATGAAGCCCTGATTATTTAAGTCTTTGGGGATATCAGTCATAGGTTTAGGGAGTGAGGAAGCAGGATGGCAGCAAGACAAGAATGCAAAAATGATAGAAGGGGGATGAGGCATTTTCCACAGATTCTAATGAGGGCACATTAACTTGCCAACACATGGTTAATGTTGGGAGGGGAGGGGAGAAGATAGAGTGATTTAATACACTTATGAGACTCTGACAGCAAGATTTCAGTGGCTTGGTGTATCTGAACAGCAAAAAGAGTATTGTCCTTCATGGTGCATCAATAGAAGTCTGGGGCTTATCAAGACTGCTAAATTATGCTCATGGCTGTACTAGATAACAAAAAGGACAAGGATCGACAATGAACCAAATGACAGGAAAGTTCATAGTGATCTCAATGTATATGTATGTGTACATGTGTATGTGTATATGTGTGTATACAGTATGAGCGTGACCATCTGAACGGTGCCAGAATCTCTTGGTGCCTTCTGTTTCCCTCCTTTGTTCTTGACTTACCTTCTTTGAAATCTGATGCTAGTTTTCTCTTTTTTTCTTTTTCCTCTCATTTCCCCTGCCTCTTATTTGACTAACCCAGGTCCCTGGAGAGGTAAGAATGGAAGCGGGAAACACTGAATTTTGCACTGCATGTTGTTGGGGGAAGGTGAGGTTAGAAGGACCAGGATAACCTTTCCCACTGGCATGCTTCTGGAATTCACTGACCTCCTCATACCAGGGAGAAAGACAAGCCGTTCCCAGAAAGGGAACTTCGGAGAAATTTTGCTTCCCTCGCTTTAATTAATTGAAGAAAATTATCTTAAAAACAGCTAAGGATAATTTTAAAATAATTCTCTTCTGCTTCTACTTCTCTCTAGTGAACAGCAGTGGCAAGAGGGCTATTTCACATTAAAAAGAATATTTGTTAGGGGCTACATGTGAAAATGGCTTTTAAAATTTCAGAGTACATTTTTCCCTAAAATGGCATGTGCCAAGTGTCTCCACCTTAGTTGCAGGTAGGCAGAAATTTAGCTTGCTGTCCCTGAAATAAATGTATTTGATCCCCTACATCCTTATCAGAGAATCATCTCCTTTCCCTCCAGAGGGAACATAAAATATGATCAAATTATTAAAAGAAAATACTGAGACTTCATACTTCAGGGTTGCCTTGTTTAAAAAGTTGTCTCTTTTGTGTTTACGTTATGTGGCTCTATGTGTCTGTAAGGTCAACAGAGCTGTCTTTGAGAATACGAATTTTACCTGTCTGTCTTAAACCAGAATTCTGATTTCCATTCTGTGGGAAGCAGTTTTTGTTAAGAGTGGACATTCAGAAAGAGAACCGTTCCACTCTTTGAACAATCCCAAATCTTCTGCTGGGTTCTTTTACTGAAACTTGCAGCAGCAGCAATAACAAAACACAATTACGTTTGTTGGGCATCCTTGATCAGCAGCAGTGTTCTCAGATGTGAAACTTGTACTTTATTTTTTATCTTCCATGACTGGCTTGCATACAGCGCCTAACTGTTATTAAGAGCCAAACTCAGGACTGGAGAGAGGGGGGCGGGTGGCGGGAGATCGACAACCCGTGCAGTCCTATGGCACGTGGATACTGCATCTGGGGAGGGACTAAGATTATATCCTACCAATTTACTTCTGTACCGATTACAAAGCCATTGCAGTCCTTTCCCCACTTGAAACCAATGGCTAAGGTCCCCAGTGGTCTTGATGAACTTGAGGTGCACCCAGTGTAATGGAAAGAGGAAGCGTGAATGTATGGATGGATAAGCATAATCATGCTATTGGGGTAAAAGTGATCGGTGCTAACTGCATGATTTGTCCTCCCTCTCTTTCTCATTGTCTTCCTTTCATGAAGTTCATCAATGATTAGATTTAGGTAACAGCCTTGCCTTGCCTTCCCTTCCCTTCCCCTGCCTGCCATATCTTGCTATTTTCCCTCTAATGTATCTTCCCTGGGTACCAAAATTGTGTCTAGTCAACTGCCCCACCCCAGTTGGATCTCAGAGGAAGGGATACTGGGTGGCTGTCCCTCTTTTGAAACCCCCCGAACAGATGCTCTCCCGAAGCACCGTGCGGCCTGTCTGCTCCCCTCTTCTAAGCTCACAGAGTCCTCTCTAGCCCTGGGTCAGTCTGTACAGCCTCTGGTTGCTTTAGAGCTCCACTGCAAGATCCTAAAATGAGCTTCCTGAGTGCTGCTTTGCCTCTGGTTACTTTCCCTGTCTGCCTGCTCATCCAACATATTTGGCCGGATGTTTTTCTGTTCCGTTTCGGCTCTCCACGCGTGTTTACAGGGTTTCCGGTTAAGTGTATGCACGTCCGTGCATGCTCATTGCTCACTGGAACTTGGCATTCAGATCCCTAATTCTGCATGCTTTCCTTTTGCATATGGGAACCTTCCTCACCCTGTGAGGCAAACACAGACATTTTACTGTTTGAGTGGGGTGAATCCGAACTCTCCAACACATCCTGTATTTGTTATCCGTTCCTAGGTGTGTCCCCTTTAGATGAAACTGTTGTAAACACTGAGGTTCCCGAGTGTGCAGCTATCTTCTTTGAAGTACAGGCCTTCCTTCCCATAGGGATACCCGCGTTTCAGCTCCTAATTCTGCCTTTTTATATTTCATACCATGGCTGCGCACCCATCAGCTTAGATGTATGTTGGTGTACTTGCAGATCTGCCCTAGTAAATACTGTGATGATTTTCCAGTGATGAAAAGCCAATCTAGACATATATATGTATCTTAAGCGCACAGGGTCGGTGTGATCGCGTGGCTAGAGGGTTGGGAAAGTCAGGTTCAACTCCCTCGGGGAGTAATTTGGGGACAGTTGTTATCTCAGAGCCCACAGGGTTATCGTGGAGCTAAATTGTGTATCTAGGTGGGAGATGGAAGAGCTACATATACATGAGTTTGTGGGGAAAAGGGTGGGATAAACTAATAATAATCTAAAAGTAGGCATATGTTTGCCCAGAAAGCAGAAATGGAGCAGGTCCACAGGTGGAGCACACCTGAGTGCTTCCCCATCTATCCGCGCTGCTGCTGTCGTTCCTCTCTTCCCTGATTGGCCTGCTTCCCTTTAAAGCACCCCAGTCAGGTGAGGCTTTCCCGACCCACCTCTCATTCCGTTCTGTTTGGAGTGACAAAGAGGCCTCTGTCTCTGCTTGCTACGTGAGCAGGGCAAAGCTTGGCGTAAGAGACTACTCAGGAATTTGCTTGCTTGCTTATTTATTTATTACATGTTTATGCTGCCCTTTGGAATATTCATCTGAGACAGTTGGATATATAAAACCTCAATATTAAGGTTTCCTCCTTCATACCTACAGGGGTTCAATGCACCAGACATTTCCCTTGGCTCCTGTTCGCAGCCATAGGCCAGTGGGCTTCTTACTTAAAAAAATTACTGGTTTAATTAAAAAAAAAAAAAGGGAGACGTTGGCACGCCGCAGACCAAGGGGCAGCCTCTGGCATTGCTTTTGTTTCCAAGGATGTTCCTGGACCCCAGATAGGTCTGTGATGAAACCATCGTTATTACATTGGTAGAATGCGAATAAAGGGTTAACAAGCTACTTCTTGAAAGGAAAGACAGAGACAGAGCTCAGGATCTTTTTCTGCTGCCAACTTTAAATGTTATCCACCTTTCCTTAAGTCATCAGAAAACTATACTGGCATAATATTTGCCATCTCCTGTGTCAATCACTTTCCTGCATCTGTTTTGGCTCGCCATCTGCTTACGCTTGGTCTACGGACACGATGAAGGCAATATCGTGGAGATGCAGCAGAGGAGAGATGTTGCTAGGAGACTTTGGTACTGTGATTAGATGCACATGAGGACATGGCCTAGGCATGCTGGCTGGGGAATTCTGAGTATTGAAGTCCAGATATCTTAAAGTTGCCAAGGTTGAGAAACACTGGCCTAGACATACAGGGAGCGGTGGAGTGAACAGTACCACAGAGTGGAAAGGTAGAGAAAGGAAAGAGACAAGTCTTCTCTATATACATAAAAGAGAAGAAAAACAATGGTAGTCCTTGTGAAAATTATTCTGTAATTAAAGACTGAGAGGGAGTTTTGTTGATCTAGCTCTTTTAAAAGGAAGAACTCATACCCTATGCCCTCTATTAATAGAGCAGTATTGGTTAAACTTTTAATTATTCATAATTTTTAAGGAAAGAAGATAGGATCATAGACTTCTCCCTATGCATACATATAAGTGTCTGGAAAAAAAGAATGTTAGAAAGGAGATAATATCAGTATAACGAGTTTAAATTTGTCTCTGGGAGAGGAAGGTGACAGCAAGGTTTTGAACTATATTCTTTATCCACGAAATAATGTATTTATTTATTTGATTTATATTTTACCTTTCTTTTTTTACAACTCAAAGTGGTGCACATAATGCTCCCTCCTATTTCCCCCAACAACAACCCTGTGAGGTAGGTTGGGCAGTGAGAGAGAGACTGACTCCAAGTCACCCAGTGAGTTTCCATGTCTAAGGGAGGACTAGAACTCACGGTCTCCCATTTTCCAGCCCAGTACCTAAGCTGCTTTATCATACTGTAATCATTCTTTTACTTTTATTACTTCTGACCAAAAACATGCACACACTTTTGTCACAGGATCCCATAAGCTTTCTTTGTGAGTATGTCTATGTGCTCAGAAAAAGGCCTAAAAGAAGTATTAGAAAGCATTGCAATGTGGGGGAGTGGGTGGGGAGGGAGGAGATAACAACAGTTACCATACTGGTTGATTTATGCTTTGTTACTGCTTAATGTCCTCCATCACAGCCATTTTCTGAAAGGGCCAGTCTCTCAGCAGCCATTTTTAAAGAGAGTCCCTAAGATGGTTTCAGAATTCCAAATGTACTTATCAATCTACAACAGTTGTAGGCTTCCTCCTAATTACACTGTATTTTTATTTTGCCTTATTATTTGTCTTAATATGCATGCATGAAGTCTATAAAATCAAGACTTCAACTGATCAACAAAATCAGTTGATATGCTTAACATTAAATAGTAGACCCTCAATTTCACAGATAAATGGGGGGAAGGAGACTCTTAGCCTCATGTCTATTAATATGGGAATGAGATTGTATGCATGCATAAAATGTATGTAAAATAAATATAATGGATGTAACAGTGTATGAACACCAATAGAAGAGAATATATGTAGCTCTGGGTTGAACTGTGGAGTCCTTGGGGTTCTCTGAACTTGGTTGTTTTCTTGCAGACATTTCATTACCCATCTAGGTAACATCTTTAGAATGTACCTGAAGATGTTACCTAGATGGGTAACGAAATGTCTGCAAGAAAACAACTCAAGTTCAAAGAACCTCAAGGACTCCACAGTGTATGAACTTTCTCCAGAGTGATTTGAAAGACACTGAATGTTGCCACTGGGATGCAGTCAGATTTTGTCCATTACATCCAAAGTCCACAGATTGAGGTCCATAAAATCAGAGATTTACTGTAATATAATCACTGATAGAATTCTTCAGGCTTCTTCTGCTTTCCAGATGTGTGAGGGTTCCTCTCCCGTAATCTGAAACCATGGCTACAAATTTTGGGAACTGAATTCCAACATACACAGAGAGCACATGTTTGGAGAAAGCTGTTATTTATTGATAGGTGAAAAAGTATTTTTAAGCATATGCTTCTCCAGATTTAATAGCTTGTTAGCCATGGTTCCTGTCATGAGGGCACTTCAGGTGGTCTGCATGAAATTTCCTCAGTTTATTTGGCATTGTTACTCAAAATGTCACAAAATTTAGGTGAGAATACAAACATCCTGCAAGATGGCCACAATCTCCTCTAATATCATTTGTTTAAAATATATTTTCTTTAATGTTGGGATCTTGGAGACATTATCTGGGAAAGTCACACTGTAATGACCCTCCCTCCTCCTGTGTTTCTGGTCCCTGCCCTGTATGAAGGGCTTGCATAAAGAAAAAAATTGAGAACATCTCTGTGAGATATAGTAAGACATTGGATGTTTGCATTTTGTTCCATTTTAATTACATTCAATTTTTAAATAAATTCATTGCAATTTGGCATATAAGGCTACCTGAGCACAGTCTGACTACACCCAGCCATGACTAATGGATTATAATGGGATAAGATAAGATGAGACCAGATCCAACGAATGAGATCCCTTTCATATCAGCATGAAGAAGTTTTGAGTTATGCCCTTCATAAGAGGCCTTTGCTGTTTTGCATGACTTTCACTTTGTCTCTAGAGGACACACAAACACACACTTTATTTCTGGCATCTTTCTCTAGCAGCCGGTCCTCCCTTAATGGTGACATCAAAGTCCTGCACAGGGAGTAACAGCTTGGCAGCCTGGGACAGTGTGGATATCCAGTTCAAGGAGGATAGCTCCTTCACTAGCCAGTACTGTGGCCCCAAAGCAAAGATAAATGACAACTCTGGTGTATTACAGAGCATTTGTGCTTTGGTATCCCATCCTCTTAAAGCAGGAGCGCAAAAAGTATGACCCAGGGGTTGCATTAGTCCTTCTGATATTTTTGACATTTCCCTTAGGGAGAACGAAGCTAAATATATTGATCTTTTCACTTGGGTGTTTTGTGTGTTTAAGTGGCAAAAAGGGTGCCTTGAGTCGTACCTTTAAAAACTCTTGAACCCCTCTTCTAAAATGGGCCTTGGCTCTGCCTACTTTAGGAGTGTGGCCTGTGATATGTCATACAAAACTTGGTTTGTTCCTTGAGCTGACAGAACCTGTGTGCTCCTATCTTGAAAGCCATTTCACACCTTCCAAAGGAGATTTACAACATGCTGCTCATTGAAAGGACATATTTTAGTGGAGAAGCAACCAGGGTCTTATGTTCTGGTTCCTGAATGGAACAATCCAGGTGGCCTGATGGTTTCACCAGCTAAGAAAAGATGTAGGGAAGTTCTCTTGCACACTAACTGTTGAAACCAACATGGAAGGCTAAGACAGGATGGCTTCTGAGTAATTTAAGCCCCATTGGCCAGATCGATTTGCTTTCCAGACACTTAATAACCTGCTGCCTAAAGATGGGCCATTTCATTTTATATGGTGACAAGGTCATTTTGGTGTGAGATGCAAATTCCAAAGACAGCTGGAGTTTCCCTTTCAGTCATTCTGAGAATATGTGAAGCCCCCTTATGGAATGTGGACTGCCCCCGGCGTGAGTTTGTATGCATGTCACCTGTAGCTGTGCACCTCTTGCTTATATGTGCACATATATAATACTACCACACTTCCCCCTATACTACTGTATTTTATTATGTATTCTCTTGCATGCTGTGGCTTTTATCAGGGTTGCCAACCTGCTGCCTGCCAGATCTTTTGGACTACAACTACCACAAGTCCCAGGCAACTTGGATCCTTGTTACGGTTTGGAACTGTTTAGTCCAAAACAACTGCAGGGTTTCAGATTGCTTATCTGACTTTGAATTTCTATTGGTATAAATAAAGATATGACCCTTCCAGGTCTATTATCCTTTCTCATTGTTGTCCTTTTCCCCTTACAGTGACAATGAGGAGAAGCCCTTCACCAGCAGCCAGCCTTCCTTGAATGGTGACATCAAGGCTCTGGGGAGTGATGATAGCTTGGCAGACTATGGGGGCAGTGTGGATGTCCAGTTCAATGAGGACGGCTCCTTCATTGGCCAGTACAGCGGCCAAAAAGGCAAAGATGGAGGTGGAAATGACAGCTCTGGGGCTACCAGTCCTACCAATGTGGTCACTGCCCTGGAATAAGTGGAGGCATTTTCCCAAAGGATAACCCCCCCCCCCCAGCCCTGGGGAAGAGGATTTCCCTATGGATTGCTGGGGGCAGGGGAAGTGAGCACAGGGTTAATCACCTCACCCAGGCAAAGAATCAAAGAATCAATGTTCCTCAAATGGAAATAGTAATTGGGGGAATCCACCCCTTTGTTTACTGGCTAACCCCACCCCAAAAACTAATCAGGGAGGGTTAGAAAATCAGGGGATTCCTCAAATGATCCACCTAAAAAAGTATCTCATTTCCACACCTTCCCTGCAAACCAGTTATCCTTCAGCCAAACTATGTCCATGTTTTGTGTGGTGGGAAGGGGAGGGGAGGGAGAAAGGGAGGGGCATATGATATGATTCAAGGTATGAGCTTCTTGGCTTCATAAGAGGGGAGGGACTCAGGTTTCAAAATTGCCAAAAGAGCAGATGACCCCCTTCTCAAGACCCTCAAATATTCATTCTTTGCTCATGTTCAAGAAGGGGATGTTAGATGGTGCTGCAATGTCTAATCCCAACCCAAATCAGGACAGGAGACAAAACAGATGGTGACCTGAAAGGAATGGGAGCCAAGGAACAGGGAATCCTTTCTCTGCCTCTGAGTGAAAGGGTGGCTCGAAAGGATTAGGAGCCAGAAGTTGTGGCTGTGCAAAAGGAAGGAAAACCACTGGGCTGGAAGCCAGAAAGGGTCTGAGCCTTTCAGTTTTGCCATTTACCACCTTCTCATGGATTCAGCTAAGGGTGGTCTCCTGAAGTTTCGTTTAGAGGGGCAGGGATGCTCCAGCCAAATCTTCTGAGCACCTCTCTGTTGATCTGTCACTTTTTCTTTCCTTTATTGCTCATTTTCTAAACAGGCCTTGCCAAGGCAGCAGTTCTCTCAGAATAGTAGCTTTCATACTTTTTACCTAGAGGAAACCCTTTCCATGTCTGCTCATCCACTAAGATGCTCCCACCCGTCAGCCATGGAAGTTGGGACCTATTCTGCATCCGGGAGGGACATTGACCAGTTGGTCCTGTTGAGCATCCTTGTTACTTCACATTAAATGACTCTGTACTTGGACATTGCCCTGCCATTAAAGTAGTGCTTGTTTACCATGACCCGTATAAAAGGGTCTAATCAATTGCCAAGAGATCCTCAAGGTATCCTAGGACCCAGTTTGAGAACTGCTATGAAAACCTGCTCTCCTGGTGCTGAACAGCCCACTTAGAATGATCTCTCTGTCTTTTCTGTCGTGTTAATTAGCATCTCCTCTTTCATCAGATGATCAAGATCAAGTTCTTTCCACTAGGCCACATCCCACCATTTGACAACCTCCTCCTCCTCCTCCTCCTCCCCCCCACCCCATCTCCAGTCCCAACCCTCCCCTCGAACAGCAGAAAAAAACCCAGGACCCTCCCTGCTTCCTGAATGCATCTCACGCAGCTGCCTTGCAACACACTCTTGTCTTTCAAAAGTGGCTTCTTGTTCACAGAATCAACCCCTACCCCATTTCCACCTCCGTCTATTGTAATTATGACTATTTTTTCTCTTGCTTGTCGGGGATGAAATGAATCCTTGCTTTTTTTGCATACAAAGTTTTCTAAAATAATAATAAAAAATAATAAAAGTACTCTGGTGTTTTGAGCAGCCCTGCACAAAATCGATCCTGCCTTTTTCCTCTCTGTAAATATTTCAAACTCTTGTGCTTGAGTTTGTTTTAGATGTCTTAGGACTGGTGTTTTTGAAGTCTTTTAGTGGGTCTATTAAGGTGGCTTGGAATTAAAAAGAGAAAAAAAAATGAAAAAAGCATTTTAAACGGTCCTCTTTCTCCTGAAATGTGATACCATTTCCACCTATCCATCCTCCCTGCCCTATGTATTCTCTTTTGTCAGGCCTGTTGCGATCTAACTTTCTCTCTTGATGGCTTTTTATATATATATATATATGTATATATATAAACAGAATTATAAAATGATAAATAAATGATGAAATTGGAACTTGCTTGGACTGGTGATGGGGAAAACATGGTTGGGGACATTTATCTCATGTATGTTCTCATAGGACTCCTGGATGAGAGTTAGGAAAGGTCTCTAAAACGAAATCAATTTTCCTCTTGCCAATTCCTCTTGGAATTTTGGGATTGTACATTACAGAGCAGAAGAGTAAGTCGGGGGTAGAACACATCCTCGGTTGCAGGTTCAATCCCTGTCATCTCCAGTTAAAAAAGAATTAGGGAGGGAACATCATAGGAAAGTCTCTCTGAGACCACAGAGAAAGCTGCTCCCAGTCAAAATGAAAGACGGAGTCTGCTCAGATTTGAGGAAACTAACATGGTTCTCTCTTGGCTCTCATTGCCAGTGCTTTCTAGGCAAAATAGTGCCCCCCTGATTCTGTAGAGCTTTCTGTGGCTCCTTTGCACCTAGGAGGAGGGAGATGTCTTTGTATAAGAATGTGGAAGAAGCAGCATGAGATTTTTGAGAAGGGAGAATTATTATGTTGTGTGTCTTCTTGCTGGGACTGAAACCTCATAGATTTCGACCCTACCTTCTTCTCTTTTGAGATCTCTTGAGCTAGACCTTTGAAAACATAGGGTTTGATGCCCTTTGCAGTAATAGTGAGCTGCCAAAAAAATAAGTACATCAAGGAGAAGATGAACCTAATGGTAGATATACCTGCATACTTGTCATAAATTCCAGTTTGATCCCCTAGTTTTTGCTGTAAAGAATGGACCAGGCAAAACATTGTTTAATTTTCTTCTTTCTGGTTTAAAAATATGCATGAAAAAACAAGAGTGGGTTAGTCTTATACCTTTCGCAGCATCTGTTTAATCAATGTAATTTAATCAATATAATTGGTAGAGTAATCAAGTAAAGCTTTAATCACAGATTAAAGTTTGTCCTTGATTAACTAGTGTTCCTGAAACTGAAGGGCATGCTGGTGTGTGGAGGCTAGATGGCAACATTTTCCATTCTTCTGCCAACATTGATTAAAACAGAACAAAAAGATGGCTTTTTGTTTTAGCTGTATTCAACAGTGGCAGATAATTTTGTCTTTCCAGATATAATTGCTAAAAGGAGTATTATGCAAGCAAGACTGGTCACGTTTAGCTTAAATTAGTGTATTTTTTATATTTCCCCAAATCTAGATTTTTCATAATTCTAAAGAGATTTGTACATGTTTGTTGGGAAACTCTTTTGGATCTGATATGTTACGGTAATGTGAATATTCTTTATCCCCTGATTCCTGAATTTATAGAAAAAGGAAATACTGATCTTTTTCTTGATGAATAATAGTTTCTCCATTAAGAGTTTAGGAAAAGATGAACAAATATAATAATGTTATATTTAAATTAACTTGTAGAAAAAGTGACACAATGATACTTTGAACATTTCTGGATATGATTCCCAGATTGCCTGTTTGGTCTGTTAGCACAACAATTTCCAGCTTTTCTAACTAAGGAAGTCTTTCCACACTGATTAATCTGCCATGATACTTCTGCATGTTACTCATTAATCTTACACTGTGAGAAATTCCAGGCTTCCCTGATATATCATTTAAAAACCACTGCTAGAGCACTAAGATGAAACTGAGGAATAGTGAGTAATTAAGTGACGTTTTTGTGTGCAAAATTCCTTAGTGCAGACTTTGCTGTTTGTGGAGTCCTTGATGCTCTCTGAGCTTGGTTATTTGCTTGCAGACGTTTCATTCCCTGGCTGGGTACATCATCAGTGCACTGATATTGCAACAGAGAATCACAGAGGTGAGCTAGATGGCATCCCATCTTGTTGCAAGCCAGCCTTTCCCAATGCGAATTCATCTCTATATTAGGGATTCCTGTAATCAATACTTCCTCATCATGCTGGCCGGGGCTAATGAGAATTATAGAACAAAAGCATTGGCAGAAGCCCATGTTGAACCAAAGCAAAGAGTTGCAATCCCATACTTAGTTATCTGGATGTAAACCACTCTGAATAAGATGCCATAGACGGCTTCCTGTCTGCCAGTCAGGAAGCTGGATGAAAAATGACCTCTTTTAACCCCCACCAGACCTTTGCTTCAACTAGATACAATGACTAGCTCAAACTGCCTCTATACCCAGTGGAGCTTGCTTCCACGTCGGCGTGCCAAAACTTCAGTTACCCTGAATGCCAGCGAAATAGCCTCACTGGTTACTACAGAAGCAGGAGATCTTACAGCCCTCCAAATGCAAACACAATATCAGAAGGTCGTGACATGTGTTAGCAACAGCAATGGCCATGAATGGTGCAGAACTCGAATACTGTAGGTATATGAAATGACGACAGGGAGGGTGAGATGGGATGGCCTGCAGCCTCCTGTATCGCTACCCCTGCCTCCACACAAATGATCGGTATGGTTGCACAGTACTGATCCTGAAACTTAAGCTTGAGAAATGCTACTTAATTAATTCATTGGGGCTGGGGGGAAAAAGTCAAAGTTCACTTTTCAAGAATAACTGACAGCAGCCCATACCACAACATTATTAATAGTTTTCAAATTTGCAAAATGTTAGTACGTAGCCTCCAGTGCACTACATATTGGGCTCAAAAAGGTTTAAGACAGACAGAAAGGCTTGTGGGCTGCAAGTCACCTGCCGATTCCACCCTATTGGCCCACCCACAGGCCTTTTGCAGTCTTATGGAGGACTTTCTCAGACTTTGCATGCTAATAGGTAGTCCATGTGTTTCATCCCAACATCTCTGATTGAGATTCTGGAGCAAATCCCTTCCTTCTTGTGGCCACTAGGAATCTTGTATCAGTCTGAAACAAGGATGTAACCCATGTTCATGTTACCCTACAGCCAAGTCTATTACACTGCTTCTCATTGTGACATGTACATGTTGTTAACCTTACCATTTGGTATGAAGCTGATGATACCTCGATAGAATTCTGTTCTGGGGTTAGAACTTTCCTAGAGTTCTGACCTTTGGAGAAGTGAGACAAAAGATGTTGAAACAAGAAACTGAATTAAGTAGTTGTAGGTATTGCCTGTAGAGGGAGCTGTTGTTCTATCCTCCAATCCACTGAAGGGTTCCTCCCCACAGCCAAGTTAAAGTGCCAGTCACCGGTCCTTGAGTCAACCAAAAACTCTTACTAGTATAAAACGTTCTGCCCCCAATGGCGATCCCTTTCCGTTGTACAGTACAGGACATGCCAAGGAAAGGGATTGCTGGATTCCCCCAGTTTTGCTTCCTGCCCCTCTCCCCTCCCATCAAACATCACTAACTGGCAGGAAAATAGCCACCAATCACTGGGGAGAAAGTGAGCTTCTATAGATAGCGAGACTGGCAGGTTTGTCAAAATACCAGTTTTGTCCAAGGGCTTTTGCACAGGTTCAAAGAAAGTCCAGCCACCAGCTAATATCGGCTCTTCTGGAGTAGCAGTGCTATTCTGGAATAGTACTAACCCATGTCTGAAAAAAGCCTGATTATTAACTGATATCCAGAAGAGCACTAAACCCATATCATTTAGCCCAAATGAAAGCTGTCAGGTGGGGGGGGTGGAGTCAGGTGGGGGGGGAGGAGAAGCACCATGGAGCAGTAAAGAAAGAAAACTCACTCTCTCCCACTTCACTGTATAGTCCCCCACCCCACCCCTTTATTACTGCTCACCTGTGTTCAGGTGGATCCAAGACTCTGAGTCTGGTTTGAAAAGACTGGACTGTCATCTATCCAAACCAGAATGACCCTTTAAGACAAGTCCCAGTATCCAGAAGGGAGAAAGGGGGCCCATAGAGCTGATCCCACCCTCTATCCTAGGCATCACCTCTCTAGCAAAGAATGGTTGGGGAAGTGCATCAGATTGCACCGTATCTTTTGGGATAATGGGGAAAATACTACTACAACATATAATTAAGGATGACCTAAGGCTGCCTCAGGGATGGGCTGATGATGGGATAAAGCCAACTTCATGAGGGAACAGCAGAAAAAAAAGGTTTCCGGGGCATGTTTGTGCCACTGTGGTAAGTGAGGAAAAGCTTGAAGTCTCTGATTGTGGTAGGACATTCAACATACTTTGTAAATCTGTACCCCCTGAAACAGCCAGGGCTTTAAGTGAGTTGCAGACAGGCCCATCCCTCCAGATGTGGCGCTCTCCACAAATCTGCAGTGCAATGAAGGAGAAAGGCCACTGGAGAAAGGAAGATGTTGTGCTTAGTGGTTCTACCAAGATTGAGAGGGCCCTGTGCATGATGCCTTCCAGAGATGTTCCTTCTAGAGCACTTCACCCTTCCATTCCCATATCTTGCTGTGAGCTTTCTTGCTTCCTTTCTTTACATATATATACCCAACTTGCATTCTCTAAAGGCATTTATGGGAATGCTATCAGTGTTTAAAATGGGAAAGCAGAGTCTCAAGCATTGTTAGAAACAATCAAACAATTGCCCTGGGATGGAAATACTGCTTTTTCACTAGAAAAGTGGGGGAGTCAAAGCTGCACTTGCTTATTGGTGAAGAAATGGTCTCTCCTGTGCCAATCAGAGGTATTGCTGTGTGTCTCTAACTGGTGATTTTCCAAATCTTTCTTCAAGCTGTGATTATAAGAGAAGGGATATAAAATCAAGCCTAAAAAGGCAACGCGGGCATACAGTCCAACGACGTTTTCTCTGCTGCTTGGTTCCCTTTCTCCCCTGCTCTTCAAATGGCACATACAATTGCCTCCAACACCACTGCTGTTGTGGGAAGGTGTGTAGAGCGTGAAGAGGAAGAGACAAGAAGGTTTTTGGTTCTCAGGTTACCAAATATCTTGCTAGTTTATTCAGCATTATATATCTTTTTAAAAATGCCGTTGGCCTGGTCACATGCAATAGGAGGGAACGATATCACATCAGCCACTCAACAGTGCTTCACAGCCACGTAATCCTGGTAATGAGGAGTATGAATTTCTCCTTGAACTTTGTAAG